ACGCTGTGATTCTTTGTATTCAATAATGCATAAGTGGACTGACAGCAGCAGGCATTAGTAATTTGCAGGCGTAGATTCACTTGGTATAAAATACTCATGATCCAACATTCATAACACTCCACTGAGAAAAAAATTAGACATTTTTAAGATCTAGCAGTGGGCATAATTGGGTTTCTGCAGGCTAACCATGCATTGACTTTACTTTTTGTTGTTTTCTTTTAAACACCTTGTTAAGCTTTTAGATTGCACAGTAATAGTGTGCCCCTTATGAGAACTCTAAGCTTAAAAAGGAGCAGTTTTTTTAATCCTCCTGAGAACTTCCACTTTGCTCTCTTTGTGCTTTTGTATTACTTTGCTCTTTGTAAAATCACAGTTTTTAAGGGATTGAACCTCAGAAATAGGTTGAGAGTCTGTGTAGTTGAGAATATGCATGATTTCCACAACCTCTAAATCCTCCCCACTTATTCATCTAACAACGATGGAACAAACTCTCAGTTGGGAGATGTGAAAAATGAAGGAAAGAAGAGACAATCGGGAAAATGACGGCGAAATCCAAAAGATGAGAAAAAAAAGCAGCCTTTTGAGACCTGATGTTCATCTCTCAGCTTTGAAACCTGGCACTTCATATACGCTTAGCCCAGATCTTTCTCTTTTCATCTAATGGAAAACACTCAGACAAATGACGTCTACATTAAGAGGTTGTTTTGTGATGGATGTGAAAATCCTGAAAACAACTGGTGACAAATGGGAAGTGATTAATGTGACCGTCTTGGAGAAAACCCTACTGTCGCTGGAGAAGTGACAAATTTGATCTGAGAGACAAAAGCATCGCTTAAAGAGTAATAAATGTTAAGCCAGCATGCTTTATTGTCCCTTGTACTTACTTTCAGAGTGTCTTTGAGTGCATTTGTGCGTGTAAGGAAATTTAAACTTCCGCTCTATGGTTGTAAGATATTAACACAATATACCAACCAAGTATCAATATTTTACGCTACTTTAAACTTCCACTTGACATTTCAGAGGATGATCTGGCATTTATTGGCATCTGGGAAACACATAAGAGCATAGGAGATATTTTGCAGAGATCCTTTGTTTTGTTTCATACCATTTGTTGACAAAGGGCAGATTTAACTTCTATATTTTCAGTTTAAATGTGTGATTTTATACCCAATGGGTGAAAATTTTGAGCTTATTTATTTTTTTTTTTTTTTTTAAATAAATGATTTGTGATTCGGGTTCAGGCTCAGACACAGATGCAGCATTTTCGAAAATGATTTGGTTTGATTCCCCCCGGGTCTGCAAATGATTTGACTCATCAAATGACTGTGTTACAAATGGCATACAAGTAAGTGCAAAATTTCACTTTAACATGTCACGGCACTTATGTTGCATTGATGTTTACCAATCGTATGGCTTTCTGTTCTCATTTTACTAAAAGGAAGGAAAAGAGAGGATCATGCAGAGGAGTTAAGCTTTCTCCTCAGCGTGATGGTGGCTTTCATCGCCATAAAAATGCTGTACATTACTTATATATGTATTTCTGGTTTATTTATTATTTTATTTATCACTTATTTTACTGTGCAGCATTGCATCTATTCTTCTTTCCATCTAGGCCCTGAAATTCGTCTTCCCATGCATTGCATCATGGATAATTCAGGCTTTAGGTTTTTCCAAGAAAGTGTTAAATATAAATTAATTAAATAATAAATAACTAATTTTTAAGTTTTGAAAAATGATCTTTTTTCTGAGATGCAATTTGTAATTGCCATCACACATGAGTTCCCTCCTAATACGTGTTCATGAAGGCAAAAGGTCTGTCGACAGTTAAATTCATCATAACTCGTTTAATTTCGAAACAATATCCAGCTCGTTCTGTTTGGCATTTTTTCTGAGAGGATTTTATGATTTACCATGACCCCCTCACCCCAACATCCCTGTTTAAATTCGTGTACATTTGCATTCACACCCACTTGAGAAGCTGAATGAGCAGCCTGGCATAGCTCTGCATCATGTGTGGCTCCAGGTTTGGGAGCGTGACCAACTCATACAGCAGCTTGATGAAGAGGATGTGGTCATCTTTACTGAACCTGCGGCCGTACAGCTTCAGAAACCTAAGGGTGAGAGAGGACACTGAGCGAACAGGTGATCACTTCCTACTTCCTACACTTAACCTATATTCTGAAACAGTGAATAGGCTTACACAGCTACAGTGTACGACTGTCTCAACACTAAACCTAATCTATTGAACTTGAGTTTATGCCAAGTCACACAATGAATTAAGGTTCGGCCTTTAATTAAAGTTATAAGGCAGAACACTATGCCCTGATGTCCTCTTAAGGCAGACAGGTCAATAACACCAAGTAGCTGCTTCTTTAAATGCTTTTGTGCACTAATATTCCTGGAACTCCAGACTTAAGAATACAGCAATGGACACTTTTAAAGTTTTTCCACCTCTAACCACAGACAGATTGCAGTCTATTTCAAATGTAACAATCAAATGTACTATCTGATGAACTTTGCTTAACTCTGTCACAATTTTATTTTAAGATGCAGGCAATTGTTAAGCCCACTGTTATGAATCTTTGGCTATGGGTTAAGTTACCTTTGGGTAGTCTAAATCATACGCCAACCTTGCTTCAGTACTTACGAGAAAAGTTTCCTGGACCAGAAAGCGACCCCGGGCCACAGCTCTCTGAGGAGGACAGCTCTGCACAGGTTCGCTTTGATCTCCGCCAACAGTTCCGTGGCCTCGTGGTCCAACCGGTCAGAGTAAGGCAGCAAGCCATTATACACAATCTCCTTCTGAGGAATAAACTCAGCCATATCCCTGCCCACAGTCATTTCCGCTGTCATACAAGTCACTTTTCTGTTGAAACTGTGTGTAAAATGGTAAAGAAAACTTTTTTGTTGTGCCTCCTGGGAAGTGCGCAGCCGAAGTTAGTGGGCATAATCCGCTGTGTCCAGAAGCCGGGCGGAAGGCAGGCGATCACAGAGGAAAGTATGTCACGCTAATTGAGCCGGGCTAAGCCCTGAGCGCAGAGGGGGCCGGTTTCGCTCAGGCTTGCAGTGCCGGGCGCTTTGTCAACTCTCACTTCACACCTCATGGTTGCCCGGTCGCCTTGGGCACATGGGTGGGGGAGCAGTAGGGTACGTGCGCTGAGCGTGACGCACGGCAGGGGGTTTGATGGAAATGAGGTGCTACCGGTTGCTAGAAATTGCGCATTATTCTGAGGTCAAGCTTTGATTTCAGCACCACCGAGTCTAATAACAGAGGCCTTTGATATATGAAGACCTTCATGCACTGTGTAAATGACTCGGATTCATTCAGAAAATCGTCACTCTGGACTACAGATCCCAGAAGCGTGCGCGTTGCAGGCTAATCTGCAGAATATCTGATAAATGGATTAATGCTGTCCTGTTTTACTGACCTGTAGAGCTACTGACCTCGCAGTGATTGTTACTGAGATAAACAAAGGGTTGCACTCTGTCAGATGAATCAGCACCTATCTATCTGCATGCTACACACTTATTTAACTAAGCAGAAATGAGCTTAGATCATATATAAATAAAGGACAGTCTTTAACAAGTCTCATCATATCATTCATGCCTACCTTTTCTGTCTTATGACACCTTTATCCCCAACCTTTTCCATTCTTGCTTCACTGTGCACTCGTCCATGTAAATCCTTTTCCTTTAAGCCCATGTAATTCTCTGACCACTATGCTTAGAGTGGGGCGGCAATTGCAGGTCATTGTCTGGCTTGCCTGGCACTGAAGTTTCTGCTCACAGCAAGGACTTAGACTATAATGCAGAAGCCCTTTCAGTTCTCTGGTCTAGTTACTGTTGGAGAAATGGGACAATTGCTGCAACACCACCTCGCTTTTGTTAAGCTGCCTGATTGCATAAAGTGCCCTGTTTCTCATCCTGCCTCAATCTTATTAAAGGTCTTCTTGTTGCTTTCAGTACTACCTTCTGGCGATAGCCCCTGTAGCCTTCAATCAGTTTTTTTGAGACCATAGTGGATGCCCTCTTTAAAACTATTTTCTCCCCATAAACACAGTGTAAGACTAACAGAGTCAGGACTTTGAGACAGATCCCAGAACAGAGTGTGCCTTCCGCACAGCATATCACTCCAAGCGTGTCACGCTAGACTCTGCCAAGTAATCTCACCCAACTCTACCTTTTTCTATCCCCTCAGATCTTATTACTTTTGGGCTTTTTCTGACTCCCAGAGCAGTGACAGCACCTGCTTTCACTGTCTCCGTCACTGAACCACTTCCAGGAAGAAACATGGTCTCTGTTCTTATTTGTTCTCCGCTGTGATGTTTCTAGGTATCTGGAAATAGAAAATTTGTTGGGATTTTGTGTGAGTGTGTTTGTATGGGCACAGGCGCATGCATGTGTGCACACACATCTGTGAGATTCATTAGTCCACAAGTGGAGTGTACAGATGGAAAATGTGATTCGGGATGATGATGCCTTTTTGACTCAGCAGGGAGAAGACCAAACAGAGAGAGATCCCAGCCGAAGTAGATGTTTTTGTATTCCATCAGTTTTTTCATAGCTCACAATCTTCTGCACACAGCACTTCCAAAAGCACACACATGCAAACACACACGCATCGAGCCTCTAATTTTTGCAAAGGATTTATGGTAATGCCAGTTTTCTCGCTGCTAAAATATTGGAAAATTTGTGCAGCCAGTAACAGTGTGTGTTTGTGCCTGTGTGCCTGTTTCGGTGTGTGAGTGTGTGCATTCGTGCATGCAAGTCTCATTTTGGAGAGTGAAGAGTGTAAATGATGTGTCTGGGAAACCTGCATCGAGACGTCAACACACACACAGACACAGTTCCTTCCATCCAGCTGGGTTCCTCGCTGGGAGATATGCAGCCTAGTTCATCGCCAGACACACGGGTAAAATATGGCCCCTGCTCCTGCCACACATACACACACATACACAGACACACACACTCTCAAACAAATAACACTGTTTGAGATTTCTCCCGAACTAACAAAGCTGTCTGCATGTTTCTTACTCAGATTACTCTCTTACCAAACCCATCCCTTTTTTCTTTTCTTTGGATGATTCAGTGACAAATTACTGAGTGAACTGTGCTGGTGATCTTCACTCTGGATACCAAGGTGAGAAGATAATAAAGGAGGGAAGCAATCAAGGAAGAGGAAAAGGAGACATTCCACTACAGCCCCTGCGGAGCTGCAGCAGGGACGAGCCTACTGGCTGTGATTTCTAGTCAGGAAAGGCAGAGGAGCAAGGAGAACGCAGGTATGCATGGTTATTTCTCTCTTTTTGTCCTTCTTTTTCTTTTATTTCCTATGCCTGAGATCTGCTTGGATTCTATATAGGAGGTTACTTTCTATATTTCAAGGTGACTGCATGTGTTATTTATGTGTAAGCAGGAATGGGTTATCTGAGGGGTCTCCTTCAGCTTTTGATATTCCTCTATGCAGCAGGAGTGTGTGCAGGTACCACACATATGCATCAGTACAGTTGCTCCGCCTGTTTCTTTATCATTAAAGCAGAATCATATCTAAATCTTGAAAAGCCCACACATACTCGTGCCTCCTCCACAGGTGTGGATGGCGCAAAGGTCAGCAACTTGTCATCGCAAATCTGTCTTCATCCGTGTGAGGACCTGTTTGGCTTGCTCACTGAGATCCATGGCCTACGTGTTGTGACCAACAACCTGCTCGAAGACTTGGATAGAGTAGTAAGATGCATAAAAGCATGCACATTTATCATGGTATTTGTTAAAATTGTGTTTCTTATTGCCTGATGGTACATTATTTTATAGCAGCATGAGCAAGAATTTAAATATTTTTTAGCAAACAGGTTAAAATGTTGTGTCATTTTTAAGGTAAAAGTAACTTTAAACATGAACATTTTTAAATCTTTTTTTTTAGATTATTTTTAGATTATTTAAACCAGTAATAGTCCATTTTCAATAACTATGTGTTTACCAAGGTTGTAATACACTTTTTATTCTGTGTCATCACAGAAAAGTTGACTGAATTTAAATTCTGAGAGTAATTCTTTTTCCAGTGCAAATGGCACAAATAAAGGATTTTCTGTCAGGAAGTACTGTGGTCTGTGGCAAATGCCTCTGGGGAAAAAAAAAAAAAAAAACCAAGAGGAAATCTCCCCACAGATATGGCCCACAGTAGTTTGGCTGGTCTCATTCAATATAAATACACAATAATACTTTCTTATTTGAAAAATGTATTTAGCTAATTTTAGTATTTTCAGTCCAAAGAAAATGAAGAGATACGGATATCTTTGGATGAACTCAGTAACAGACATGGCAGTGGTACCAGCAGTGGCAAAGGGAAAGGCCATGGGAGAGGCAATGGGAACGGCAACAGCAGCAGCAGCAGCAGCAGCCACGGCCGTGGCCACAGCAACGGCAATGGCAGGGGCAATGACAATGGGAACGGCAACGGCAGCAGCAGCAGCCACGGCCGTGGCCACAGCAACGGCAGTGGCAGAGGATATGGCAACAGCAACGGGAACGGCAACAGCAGCAGCAACAGCCACGGCCGTGACCGCAGCAATGGCAGTGGCAACAGCAGCGGCAGTGGCAATGGTAATGGCAACGGCAACGGCAGTGGCGTCAGCAGCAGCATCAGAAGCAGCCGCAGAGGTGGTGATGGTGACAGCAGTGACAATGATCTTGACAGAGACAGTGAGGCGTTGTGCGTGCAGGATGGACGAGTGTACGAGCAGGGGGAGGACTGGGAGGTTGACAGCTGCACCTCCTGTACTTGCCAGGTTTGTGCTGAACAAATCTATTAACTACAATAACACACTGGCAGAATTTCCTGGGGAAATACCATGCAAGCATTTAACTGAATTAAGGATTTATAAGAGATAGAGAGCAGATATTAATATCATCATCTACACCAGCAAAGTAAAATGGAAAATTATAAGTGACAACCTTTAGCATTAAATTAATCTTCAAGGTAGCTTACCAATGTTTTTATACACAAGGACTTTGGTTGACGACTTGACTGCTGCAACTTATTATTGCTTCGCTTCGCTCTAATACTTAATAAAAAGCAAATATGCAGCATTTTAAAAATGTCCAACTGTTCCTTTAAACGATGTTTACCAATTGGGGAAGTTTCACTTGTATGCAATGTGGTTTCATTTATTACCAGAAGTTCTATATTTTATGCATGCTTCATCCTCATCCCTACGTCTGTTTCTTTTTATAAGAACCATTCTTTTTGTTGAGGATGGGATGAAGGATTAGCCTGACTTGTTATGACTCATGAAAACATACCATTCCTTGCAAGAACTGGCATTCAGCAAAACATCTGGATTCAATAATGTGATATTGTTAGAAAATCTAAATGTATCAACACTGGACTGTCTTGCCAGGATGGAAAGGTGGTTTGTCAACAGGTGTCATGTGCTCCTGTGTCCTGCATCAATCCGTCTTTTGTCGATGGAAGTTGCTGTCCTGTCTGTCTTAGTGAGTATCATTTTTCTGCAGCTGGGATTTTGTCTTTACATGGATGCCAAGATTAATAAATATAATAAAAACACAACAACAACAACAACAACACATGTCTGTTGTCTGTATGTAATAAAGATGATGAAGACGGCTGGTCCCCATGGTCTGAGTGGACCCACTGCTCCGCCACCTGTGGACGTGGAGGGCAGCAAAGGGGTCGATCCTGCAATGGCATCATGCCGTCCTGCTCTGGCCCGTCAGTCCAAACCCGCAGCTGCATGATGATGAAGTGTGACCGCAAGGGTAAGGCATCACTCTGCACATCGGATCTGTCACCTGTTTCAGCTTAATGCTCTTTTAGTGACTGACTGAGCCAAGTCCTATTCAAAACAGTGAACTGGCAATTCCCAGATGGCGAAAATATGAAACCTCAGACAAATGGAGATCGTAGAGTTTCTAATCGTAATTGGAAACATGTTTTGTTCTCTGTACGCTGCTGAGCTGTAGCGGTGGTCTGACTTTCTTTTGTCTTTATTTGTCTAGTGCGTGCTGACGGGAACTGGGGCCTTTGGTCTCCTTGGTCTGCGTGCACAACCACATGTGGAGAAGGAAACATTACACGGGTCCGTCTGTGCAACAATCCTCCACCACAGAAGGGGGGCAAGGGGTGCACAGGTAGCGCCATGGAGACACAGCCTTGCAACAACACGCTCTGCCCGAGTAAGTAGGAGCGCACAGCTGCACATTTGAAAGCACTCATACGCATTAAAAGTGGCTCAAAGGTAAATGATGCATTTCGGTGTAGTTGCTGGAGGCTGGACGGCCTGGACTGAATGGTCAGTCTGTTCAGAGACATGTAACGGGGGCCTCATGAGTCGCCAGCGAGAGTGTGTGAACCCCGCCCCTCAGAACGGCGGGAAGCCTTGTGCTGGAGATGCTGTGGACTATGAAGGATGTAACAAACAACCATGTCCTTTAGGTAAACCTTAACCTTGTGCAGCTGTACCAACTAATGTTATTCTACATGCAGGCTAAGCCTCACATACATAGAGAACCTTAATCCCATTTTATTGGAGAGAACATGTTTTCAAACAATTGAGGATTAAGAAATAATATCCTTCACTGTTTGCTCTACTTTATTCAATTACAGAGGCTTAGGATAGAAAAGAGAAATGATTCGAATGTGAATTCCTTCAGAATCATTATGGTGCAATTGACCCACACTTGAACAATTTGCTTTGTGACTAAGTGTAAAAGACTTTTATGTGTAAATTTTTATGCATTTCAGATATGTGCTTGCTTTCTAATCCTTGTTTTCCTGGGGTTAAATGCACAACGCATCGCGATGGATCATGGGAATGTGGACGCTGCCCGTTGGGTTTCAGTGGTAACGGCACTCATTGTGAAGATGAGAATGAGGTAATGAGATTAGACACAGGATCACACTACACAATATGAGCGCAACAATGGCCTAACTTCGCTGATGCATGGCGTAGGAAAGGTCCTCCTCACAATTCCTTAGCATAATGCTGCATTTCATTGATTTTCAGGGAGTTATCTTTATTTCCTTGTAGTGAATTGTGGCCCAACTTGACAAGGTCAGCAGGGCCGTTTCCAGTGATGATAATGCCTGCCTGTCAGTTGGTTGCATATGTTAAAGTGTCTCTATAACTATGGAATGAATTATTGGGAATTTTTTAGACCTTATGGCTCCCAGATGATGCATCCGAATAACATTGGTGACCCAGATTTTTCCTCTAATACCACATTTATGGTTTTGATTTAAGTGACAAGACAGCTAGATGAACTACCATGAATTTTGGTACAGATATTCATATTCCTCCAGAGATTAAGAACTTTCATCAGTCATTAACTTTTTGCCTGATGGAATCGTTTTGTCAAAACTTTAATTTTTCCGATACTTATCTGAAGCGCTAATGACATTTCCAGAAGTCAGTGGACTCATTTTTAACTTCTCTGACTTAGTAACCATTGAAATATTCTGTAGTCTGATCCTGACAAAGAGATTTTCTTTCAACACGCGTAACACCTTTGTACAGTTCATGTTTGATATGCTGAACATGGATAATCTCTCAACCTCCATCTCTTCAGTGTGAAGTGGAGGGAGTGTGTGTTACACTGTGCATAAACACAGACCCTGGATTCTACTGCCTGCCCTGTCCGCCGCGCCATAAAGGCACTCAACCGTATGGCCTCGGTCTGGATGAAGCCCTGAAAACCAGGCAGGCAGGTGTTTTTCTCTTTGCTTTGACCTGCAGTCATTAACCGTAGAGACTTTTGGATTCTCAAAGAGCTGCTCTGTTTGTAGGTGTGTGAACCGTACAACCCTTGCAAAGACAACACACACACTTGCCACAAGTATGCTGAGTGTATATACCTTGGCCTGGCGTCTGAGGTCTTGTACAAGTGTGTGTGTGCGGTGGGGTTTGCTGGCGATGGCTCCCTGTGTGGTGAGGACTCTGATCTGGATGGCTGGCCCAATAATAGATTACCCTGCAAGCAGAATGCCACCTATCACTGTGAAAAGGTAAAATATCTACTTCAGCGTGAGCTAAAATCATTCAGACTTGTTGAGAAATACCTGAGCTGCATACCATTAATCCTTGTTGTGACTGGCTGCAGGATAATTGCCCCATGCTGCCAAACTCTGGACAGGAAGACCTGGATGCGGACGGACAGGGCGATGCCTGTGACCCTGATGATGACAATGATGGCATCACAGATGAAAGGGTGAGACAAAACCACTTTAAAGTCGCCATGATTGAAAACAGGCGTGTCTTGCCGTATGCAAACATCCATGTGAATGTGTGTTTTTTTGACACAGGACAATTGCCCGCTGATGTACAACCCTCGGCAGTTTGATTCTGACAGGGATGGGGTTGGGGACAGCTGCGACAACTGTCCATTTGAAAGCAACCCTATGCAGACAGACACTGATAACAATGGAGAGGGAGACGCCTGCAGCATCGACATAGATGGAGACGGTAAGAACAACTCATTGTACCAGGCCTTGAATGTGCAGCTAGTCTGCTTGGAATCAGGATCAATTGGTGGTAATAAAGTGACAGTGCTGGCAATGTAATAACTCAAAAAAAGTAGATATGAACTTGAAAATATAGATGAAATTGAATTTACCGAAACATAGCCTTGATGTATATTATTTGTCTGGTTATGTTCACACAAAATTTTTTTTTTTTTTAAATCAGTCTAAAGGCTGTGTATGTGTGTGTGTTTCTGTCTATTCTTTCAGAGGTTCTGAATGACCGGGACAACTGTCCTCTAGTCTACAACACCGACCAGAGGGACACAGACCTGGATGGTGTCGGAGACCAGTGTGACAACTGTCCACTTCTACATAACCCAGACCAGGTTCTTGAAAAAATCAAAAGTTTTCAAACATTTTTTTCTTCTGACTTACCCCCAAAACCCTGTCAGATGAATCTACTAATCTGTTTATGAACATACCTTTTATATTTAAATAAGTGCATTTGAGCTAATTTTAAAGTTAGATTCGGACTGCCTCCAGTTTATTTTAAACTCTTTGTGATTATATGTTGCTTACAATTCATTAGTTACAGTAAGAAAACTCCGTCACCCATTAATCAACTACTTTTAGTCACTATTATATTTAAAAACTCTTCATTAAATGCTGCTGCCACAGGTTAGCTAATGTTTAGAAAGCTATTTTGTTTATTGATGATTTGAGCTAGCAGTTCCAACTGTGAGACATGTTTTAGTTAATTATTTCCAACTTTTGATTTTAGAGAAATATTTACTTATTATGTTTAATTAATAATTTTAACTGATAATTCATACAATTAGCTAACGCTTGTAACTGGTCGCCATATTTTTAGCTTATCATTTCCAGCTTTTGGTTGGATGGATGATGATGATTTGGGCTTGTTTTGCCCAAATCATAGGGTCTGGTCACCTTATTGAGTCAACCATGAACAAATATGCATAACATAACAAAGTATTCTACAATCAAATGTAAGCCTATCTCTCCAACAGTTAAAGCCTGGCTGGAACTGGGCCATGCAACAGTATAATGATCCCAAGCACAGCAGTAAATCTACAACAGAAAAAGAAAGTATCTAGGTAGTGCTATAGTCCCAAAACAAAAACAAAATTGAAATGCTGAGGTAGGACCTTAAGAGAAACCGTAAGATTTAATTTCATTTAATTGTGACCTCTTTTTTATTTATTTATATATTTTAGCTAATTTCTCATCTAATCCGAGCCCCCAGGCTAATAGAGAAGTATTCCCTGCACTAAATAAATAATGCTGTTTGTAGTGACCCAAAACATATTATACACTACATCCACATGTGTTGGCAGCTTGACTCTGACAGTGACCTGGTGGGAGACATGTGCGACGACAATGAGGACATCGATGAGGACGGCCACCAAAACACTCTAGACAACTGCCCCTATATTGCCAACAGCAATCAGGCTGACCACGACAAAGATGGAAAGGGAGATGCTTGTGACCATGACGACGACAATGACGGTATCCCTGATGACCGTGACAACTGCAGACTGGTACCCAACAGGGACCAGGTAGACTCTGATGGTCAGTGTTGTTACAGCTGAGCTATCCTATCCTAGTCTACCCAAGGAGGCAAAATAGAAAGTAAACAGGGATGTTTCAAATCAATAAAAAAAAAAGTGAGCAATTTGATTTCATTTAAAAATAAAATAAGACCTGATTCCCATTCTAGCCAGTCATAGGTGTGTCAGGCTAATATCAAAGCTAATATCAAAATGCAGACATGAACAAATAGTTTGCTGTCACACAGGGAAAATAACTTGTACAATTTATGATTAATGGATTTTGCAGTCATGAAATAAAATCTTGTGACTATGAGTCCAGTTTCCATTGCTTCAGGTCATATTGATCTTGGACATCAACATAAACACTTAATGGCTCTCTGTAGTGTAATTAATAATACTTAAAAGGTTGATCTATCCACCATCATACATGGTTTTCTTAGTACATTTTCATGTTATCTTGTCCAGTTCTTTTCCCCCATCTTGGCAAAAAATAATAAGGAAAAGTCAAGTTACACTTGTTCTCTTTTTTCTTTATTCTTTCAGGTGATGGCAGTGGAGACGCATGCTTTGATGACTTTGACAATGACAGTATTCCAGATGCGTTGGATCCCTGTCCCCTGAACCAGGATATTGGGTCTACAGATTTCCGGAAGTTTCAGGTTGTTTTGTTGGACCCTAAAGGCACCACGCAGTCTGACCCCCTCTGGGTCATCCGCAGCCAGGGTACAGAGCTGCTGCAGATTGCCAACTCTGACCCCGGGATCGCTTTAGGTGAGATTAACCATAAAAAACACTAAACATATAAGACATATAATGAAAGTGATTAGTCAACATGAATAATATTCCTGTGTCTGAACAGGATACGACAAGTTCAGCGCCGTGGACTTCAGTGTCACATTTTATGTAAATACTAACCGAGATGACGACTACGCAGGGATTGTGTTTGCCTATCAGTCCAGTCAACGCTTCTACGTTGTCATGTGGAAACAGGTGCGAGCTGAACGCTGACTCTTAATTCTCACAAGCAATAAACTTAAAATACATAATAGAGAACATGTAACCATTTCTCTCCACCACATTGATTTTTTTTCTGTAAGCGCAGGTGTCTCAGGCCTACTGGGAGAAAAAGCCAACCAAAGCTTTCGGCACTGCTGGAGTCTCAATCAAACTGGTCAACTCAAACACAGGACCAGGGGAGTATCTGCGCAATGCTCTGTGGCACACAGGAAACACTAGACACCAGGTTAGAATGAGTAAACTCATAAATCTGCCACCTTTTTATTGTGCTTTCAGTATCATAAAAAATACAAAGAAAATCTTATCTTAAAAGATAACACTTTCTGAATATTAAATTGTTTGGCGCAGTAAACATTAGATAAATATGATTGTCCTCCGTGGCGCCTGAATATGTTTCAGGTCAGAACTTTGTGGCACGACCCCAATAAAATTGGCTGGAAGGACTACACACCCTACCGCATGCACCTTATCCACCGACCCAAGACTGGGTTTATCAGGTACAAACCATAATGTAAAGTGTCACCACAACTGTGGTTTGATTTATTATGGATTATTGATTCTTGAAAGAAGCAGTGACCCCAGAATATGCAGCATATATTCATTTCTGACAGAAGATATTGCTCTGTGAAGTAGTTATACTTCTGGGTTTTTCCATGAAAGATCAGTGAATCCTCCCACCTGACCCACTCAGAATCAACTTAAAATATGATTAAATACAGCTAGAAGATTAGCCTCGTATCAAAATGTAGGAAAAAGAGACTTTTCATATGCTATCCCGTAACTTGTTTTGACCAGCAACCTATCCCACATGATGATTTAAGTATTAAAAGTTTATCCCAAATGCACTTTTTGAAGTTTTCTCTGACACATGTTTCTCTTACTCTACATCATCAACATTTAATTGGGCCAATGTTGCTTTGAAACTATGATATATCCCATGAGATTGATGCTCAAAGTTGGTTACAGAGAAAATCATGCTGACAAAAAATGAGATTTGGGCTTTAGCTTGTGACACATGGAGTGGGTGTAAAATGAATTTTGCTGTTGTTTTTAACAGAGCTTAGATGTCAGGCCTGAAAATTTCTTGTGGCTAGCCCCTGTAGTCAGGAAGTCATGAGGGTTTAGATATGCTAGAGCAAAATAATATGATTAAAAAGTGCGTCCTTATCTCCGACAGTCATGTGAAAAAGAACGTTTTTCACAGGACTCTTTGCATTCCTTCTTTAGCAACAATAACTTGATGTTATCATTTTCTGTTTGAGGTGATCAGTCTCTCACGTCCTTGTGGAGGATTATGGCCCGATCTTCTTTACAGTGGTGAATCGGCTCATTGAGGTCTCCGAGCATTTGTTTATGCACAGCTCTCTTAAGGTCTCGCCACAGCATATCAATCAGGTTGACGTCTGGACTTTTATTGGGCCATTGCATCACCTTGATTCTTTTCTTTTTCAGCCATTCTCCTATAGATTTGCTAGCCACGCTGTAGGTGTCATATAGATGGTGTCAAGTTTGACTCTAGAATACTTTGGTATACAGGGAAGCTCATGGCTAACTCAGTGGCTGTGCGGTGCCCAGGTCTTGTGGCCGCAAAACATACACAAATCATCACACCTCCACTACTGTGCTTGACAGCTAGGTTGAGGTAAAGTCTTTTGCATTACTTAAGTCCTATGGAAGCATTAAGGGTGTGCTTAGTTTGTCACAGGACTCATGGCAAAGTTTTCAAGTTTTATCATGACTGCATGACTTTTGATTGCCTGTAATGGGTTTTTTCATAGTATTAAGGCAAAATTTTTACATGCCTTCATTAGATACACTTACACAATAACCTAAATTTAAAAAAAAAACCCAGATATACTGAGATGAAACATTTGTCGCTCGGCTGGTTTTTGTATTTGGAACCTGGATTTAATTTATATTTTTGGGGTTGAGCTGTCATAAACAGCTGTCACAGCTGGATTATGAACTTGGAATCCACCAAACTTTTAGAATTAGAAAAACAAAGATTGGCAGGTTTCCTCAGGAGAACTCGAGCTCTTTTCTAGTGGAAACAACTGAACATTTACAGCTGAACATTCAGGTATTATTGGCTTGGCTTTTATAGGACCATACCAGTATTTTTTAACCCAATTACTACCCACGGAACACATTATTACCTATTATTTCCAAAGAAACTTCTTAATTTTAAGTCAAAATCCAACTTGCAGGCAGGAATTTTAGACATTTGTGATAGCGCTGAACATGCCTGTGTATATTTGCATGTATGGCAAACTATTAAAATTAATGTTATTATTGGTAAAAAATAGAAAAAAATCTGGGGCATGTTCTTTGAAATAAAATTTTTGTGGCCCAGTTCAGTTCATGTAGGTTTTAGTGCAACAACAATCTGCAGAATGACTTCTTCAATCTGTGGAAATCACATTTGTGTCAGCCTGAAATGTTCTTACACTCGAGGACATCATCAATCTCTAAGAGTTATTTTATGATAACAGTGTAATTCACTTTCCAAGTCCAACCCACTTCTCCTCAACCTGCCACATCTACTTCTGTTTAGTTGTATTTCTCACTAATAGCCTGGATAAAAAAAAACCCAACAACAACAAAATAAAAACAACCCCAGGCTACATTCTCTGTGCTCTGTGCTGTTTATGTGCAGATGGGGAAAACAACAGCAGTGCCATAGTGAGATTTCCAATCTGGAAAAAACAGAAGTCAGAGAAAAAAGCTGTTATGTGACAGATTTGAAAAAATACTCTTTTTTGATACATGCTGTGGCAGTGCTGCATTCCTGTTACTGAATGACTGTACTGGAGAATGAATGTACAACTGTACACTAAGTGAATGTGAGGCTGAAAAGAAGCTCCTGCTCTTTGACTGTGAAGGACGGACATGTATTGATATTTTGGATACTTGCTCCAAAGCTCCATTGTAACTGCTATGAATATATCTCCAACTTACATCACGTCCTCTGTGATGTCCGTGAAAAAAAACCGTAAAGTATGCAACGTCAAGAAAAACGTAAAGTGTGAATTTATAGTAACTTTGCGAATCACAAGCAGAAAAAGAAGAAGAATAGAAAAGATACCTCAAAAATGTCCTTGATGATACTATTTGAAATTGAAATGCCTTTAGTTACTTTCTGCAGGTTATCTTGCATTTTACTTATGATTTTAACTTAAATTTAATGTGAACATGGTAGTGTTGTACTACGGCTGATTTGCACTGGGTTGGCTATACTGTGCTTCCTTTGCAGGGTGGTGGTGTACGAGGGCAGGGACATTTTGTCCGACTCGGGGGCCGTGTATGACCACACCCTGGCTGGAGGCAGACTGGGACTGTTTGTGTTCTCTCAGGAACATGTTATCTTCTCAGACCTCAGATATGAGTGTAGAGGTAAGACATCCTGCTAACACTTTATATTAAGTGAAACAAAAATGTGCCTTTTTAGTAAAGTGCAAGTGAGGAATGGATCAGCAATGGCCTGATAGTAAACGCTCATTGATAGTTCCCTAATAAATCCAGCTCTTGGCATTCCATGTGAAAAATATTATTTACTAAAGAATCAACTGGGAGATCCTGTGTTAGTGAATCATTAGGTACCGGTGAGTTCATAATTATCCTTGCCTTAACAACTTGCCACTGTCCTCATAACTCAATACAGTAATTACTTACACTGATTACTTGTTGCTCTTTTTATGTGGCATCAAGGACCAAAGCATACTTCAGTGGTTTCTCATTATTTCAGGTTTACCTTACCATTAATTACCCCCTGCCTCCTGTGATTATGCACAGATTATTAACATGTTATTATATGACTGGCATGGTGAAGGCAAATTTTAGTGTAAGAAACGTAAATAAGTTGTTCCTCTAGTAGTTTCTACATTACATTTTTATGGTGTTTGCCTTTATTATGTTACAAAGAATTAAGTTATTCATATAAGTGCGTTTGAATGTTGAATACTGAGATACTTTTTGAGGACCCTGCTCTTTTTAAAATTTATTAAGTAATTATGGATTACAGGCAATGGAGGAGTCATGCTGAAAAAATCAGTAACTACTAAGTAACTACTTTGTATGAGGTTTTGCAGCAGTACGTATACAGATAACTGCACTAACTGGTCAGTTCATTAGGTACAATTTGCTTGTACTGGTTTGGACCATCTTTTCTCTTCAGAATTGCCCTAATTCTTCATGCCACAGATTCAACAATGCACTGGAAACATTCCTAAGAGATTTTGACATGAACATGAGACGCAGTTGCTGCAGTTTTATTCACTGTACATCTACAACGTGAATCTCCCGTTCCATCACTTCACAAACATGGTCTATTGGATAGAGACCTGGTGTCTGTGGAGGTCATTTAAGTACAGTGAACTCGTGTTCGGGAAACACTGTGGTCATAAAGGAATGGACATGGTCAGCAACAATACTCAGGTCAGATGTGATGATTAAATGATACTCAGTTGGTACTAAGAGGCCCGAAGTTTGCCAAGAAAATATCGCCTACGCCATCACACCAACAACAACGTGAACTGTAATTGTAAGGCATGATGGATTCATGTTCTCATGTTGTTCACACCAAATTCTTATTATACCATCCAAGTGTCAGAGCAGAAATTGGGACACATTTCATCTTACGTTGTTTAATTGCGGTGAGCCCATGCAAACTGTAGCCTCAGTTACCACAGGAGGGACACCAAGTGTGGTCTTCTGCTGCCGTAGCCCATCTGCTTCAAGTTTCAATGTGTTGCTCCTCTAGATACCTCGGTTTTAACGAGTGGTTATTTGATTTACTGTTGCCTTTTTATCAGCTCAGAGCAGTCTGCCATTCTCCTGTGACCTCTGGCATCGACAAGCCATTTTTCTCCAAGAGAACTGCTGCTAACTGGATATTTTCTCCTTTTTTGAACCATTCTCTGTAAACCCTACAGATGGTTGTGTGGAAAATCCCAGTAGATCAGTCGTTTCTGAAATACTCAGACTAGCCCATCTGGCACTAACAGCCATGCCACATTCAAATGCGCTTAAATCACCTTTCTTCTCCATTCTGATGCTCGGTTTGAACTTCAGCGTGTCCTCGTGACCATATCTACATGCCTGAATGCATTCAGTTGCTGCCATGAAATTGGCTGATTAGCTATTTGCATTAGCAAGCAATTGACCAGGTGTGTCTAACAAAGCAGTGAGTGTATGAAGTAATTATTACTTAATAACTTATTAATATAATACATCCTAGCTTGTTCTTTATTTACTATAAAGTCCTAGACCAGGAGTTATTAGGTAGGTACTGATGAATTTTTCATTATCTATAAGGTCATTCCTGAAGCATTCCTCACTCATTCTTTAGTAACTAAGCAAGCTTTTGAGTCAGTTAATTTTGCCCTCTGCTGCTGTGGGTGATGTATAAAACTTGTAAGGTGTATTGTACACCTTAAAGGTGGTACAATACACCACCTTTAAGGTAAAACCTAGAGTAGTTTCCTATCTGACGATCAGGCACCTTTTAAAGATCACAAGATTAGTGTAGGAGAGAAAAGGGGGGCGGAGTCCAGCAGCACAAATCTGTGGCCATTTTTTTTTACACTTTTCTAAATAATTGTACCTTTTGTGCTTTAAACATTTTATTAAATTCATTTATCTACTTTTTTTTTATAGTGGAACCATCTGAAATGTATTGTCATATCAGCAACTGTACAACTGTCAAAAAGTGCAATGTTTTCTGTGTTGAACTTACCTTACCTACTATCACTGCTTCAGATCATGTCTCCACACAGCAGTTCCTAAAAGTGACTATTTTTCTTTTTGATTCTTAGATAACTGAATTATTGTCTCGGGATAATTTGGGAATTCCACAAATATCCACCAGAGAGAGAGAGAGGATACACCAGACTCAGGCGTTAATCCAGCCAAGACTATCAATTAATGACCATCCTCTATCTGTCAGCTTTGTATGCAGCAGTATTGATTTCAGGCTGTCTCATTCACTGTATATTACTGCTCTGACAGCATCTCTAATGACTGTAACTTCTTGTTGCTTTTCATTTTGTGCTTCCCTAATGGCTGTAAATAATTATTTATTGCTAGATGCCAGACATGAGAGGGAAAGATGCAAAGATAAATTGATGATGGAGTAAGTGGAGCACATGTCTGGCGGTTACTTATCAATAAAATGTTTTTTTTTAAATCAACTGTTCCTTTTTTCTTTTCTGATGACGCCAGTAGCTCACAGTATGCACACACACACACTCGCACACACACGACTGTAGAAACATGGTCTCTAGCGTCTTCTAGTGGTAAAGGTATTAATTACAAACAACGAGGATTTTCAACGCTCTGATAAAACTGTCCACGGGGATATGGAGGAGTAAAAGTGTAAGAAAATGGAAGCACACAAAGTTTAGATAACACATAATTTTATTCAAAAACAGTGTTTGAATTTTTTTTTTAGAATAATAAAGAAGAAAATGGGCTTGGAAAGTATAGGGTGTATCCTAACCCCTATAAAAGATGGTCTTTTGGTTTAAAATGATGTTCTGCTGTTTTAATAATGCAAAATGTATGTTTGGTCGCAGTAAATCTGGGTCACCGAAGAAAGCTGACCTTGCTCATGATTTATTAATTAATTTCCATTGACTCAAAACAGAAAACCCGTTCGACCGGCTTGAGAGGGAAGTGCCGTTAAAGACGCACTCCACCTGGTAAGGTGAATAAGTGACGTCACCACTGCCCTACCACTGAGGAATGAAGAATGAGGAAGACGAGTCCATCCACCGAGTACAGCATAGAAGTCTCTACCAAAAGATTCCAGGATTTCTATTTATTTAAATTAAACTGAGTACTTTTTTTTTTTTTAATAAACAAACTTTAAGCAAGTGGGATGGTACGCGGGTGCACAAGAGGCGCGTGCCGTCGGTTTATAGACAGGCACCAGTCAGCGTTGAATTTCGGCCTGCTGGTTGTCGCTTACATCCTTTACCTCATCGTCGGCGCCGGGATCTTCTCCGCTATCGAGCTGCCGTACGAAGACGCGCTCCGGCAGAAGCTCAAAGCGGATCTACGGGACTTCCTGAGGAACAACTCCTGTGTGTCTGACGCTCGCCTAGAGGAGCTCCTGGCCCGCGCTCTCGAGGCCAGTAACTATGGAGTGTCCATCCTGGGTAACGACACCCAGCGTAGCTGGGACTTTGTGTCCTCCCTGTTCTTCACCAGCACCGTGCTGACCACAACAGGTGAGTCCAACGGATACAGGTGTTCAGACTTTAAAAGCCTTTGCTTCGAGAGTCGAAAATGTGAGTGGCCCATTTAGCTGAATAAATGTAAATTTGTGGCACGCTATATAAACAGGTTTCCTCGCTGTAACTAATAAGTCTATGGTTAAAGATCCCCTGTAGCCACTTTTAACACATTGGAAAATAATGTGGTTTGAATAATAAATGTTTAGGATGTTCATTTTTTTCTTTCCAAAGGAGAAAAAATATAGTAGTTAAGGGAATGAATTATTAACTGCATTGGACTTTAAATAACCTTCAAGTTCAGACAAGTATGTAGAATTACAATAGACTAGCTTTAAATTTCAGTTTATCCAGTTTATCACATGTCACTGAGCAGTCCTTACCTTTAAATATAACCTGAGATCTCCTTCCTCTCCTGTCCTGTGTTTCTTACATCATTCTCCATCTCTCAGTGAAGTTATCTCAAACTCTTTTCTCTCCCTGGGAAATACAGCAGCCGTACCTTTTGCTAGCAGACACTGTGTGACAAACTGCACACAAGCAGTTTGTGTTTTTACTGATCTTTGTTGAACTTACAGAAACATTGCATTTGAAATGACCTGCCACTTACAAAGGATACTTCCTTTCTGTTCGCTCTAGTGATGGATACACAAATAGGAATATCTTTTCTGTTTTACCGTTCCCTCCATTTATCCTCAAATCGATTTGATGTTTTAAGGCACGCAGTGAAGTGAAACAAAAACTTCCCTCAAACGTGTTAAGCCTAAAGTAACAAACCTGTTTTGAAACTGCAACGAGAAGAAAGTACTCGTAAAAGTAAAAATGAATAATCAAATAAAGCACAGATGCTGGAAATGTTTACTAAAGACAGTAATGAATTTGTTACTTTGTTACTGATATACTTTTCTGTTACCTCAGTTTAATGTGAGCAAAGAGAAATGACATAAAAATAGCTCCCTTGGTCATTTGGACATGTACGGTAAGTGAACTAACAGTAAGCAAGCCGTGTTAAATGATGGAGAAATTCAATATATCATGTAATAATGTTTTGTGTATTTAAGTCAAGATTAACCAAGATGAGAAAAATCCCTCTGCCTAATTTTATTGATCAAGGTCTAGCTTAAATGTCCTTTTATAAATAGTGTGTGTTTCAAGGTGTCTCTATTACATGTATTGTTATTGTATTGTATGAATTTTGGTCCAGATTCTATAAATAATCCATGAAAGCAGTATTTGTCCTGCCTTTCAGGGCCTTTGTATAAGTAATACACTCAGGAAAGTAGTATTTTTATCAGACATATCAGTAAATGCATCTCTAGAAGAATAAATCCTTATCTCAACTCATTTGTTTTTTTAAGATAAATAAAAAAAACGATAAGTTTTTGTGCAAACCTTCAGCATTTGTCGCCAACACTTCTTGAGGGTGAGACTTTTATGTTTACATAAATGCATGAATTTATTTATTTTTCAGTTTTCTGGAGGTCTAGGAGGACCTTTGAGATATAAGTTTATAATGGCTATATTAGCATTTTAACAGAGTAGTTGTTGCATCACATACGACATGGCACAAGTGGTAGCTTATATTAACCAAAAGGAAACTAATAGGCAGCGTGAAATCATGCAAAGTTTACAGAGGATATCCTAAAAAATTTTAAAAATAAATTAATTATTTCTTTATTTCTATAGCCTGCTTCATTTTAAGACTTGACGAGTCTTGTTTGAGGCTAACTACAGTTAGTTTTCACAAATCCCGGGTGAATCCTGGAGGAGAATTCCTCCTTTTATTACTGTAACTCTGTAATTTACATAGTGCTGCATGTTTTTTTGTGTCTTCAGGTTATGGCCACACTGTTCCTCTCTCTGATGGGGGGAAGGCTTTCTGTATCTTCTACTCCCTCCTTGGCATCCCTGTTACCCTCTTCTTCCTCTCTGCTGCGGTTCAACGGATCATGTCCGTGGTCACACGTCGTCCACTGTCCTACTTCCATCGACGATGGGCTATGTCTAAGTCACACCTGGGAGTCATCCATGCTGCCTTCCTTGCCTTCATCACGACCCTTATCTTTGTAATTATCCCTGCATGGATCTTTGTCGCTCTCGAGGAAGACTGGAACTTCCTAGAGGCTCTGTATTTCTGCTTCATCTCTCTGACAACTATTGGCCTTGGAGATTATGTACCAGGAGAAACTCCCAGTAAAGACGTAAATCCACACCCACACCTCTACCGGCTGGCCATTACAGGTGAGTAGAATTTAAAAAGGCAGTCACATTTTTTTAATCTAATATATCATGAAATAGATCATTTATTTTGTAAAAAGAAACAATTAAATATCAAAAATCTGGAATATTTTTTGGGCTTTCTCTTGCCTATAAGATAGTTTTTAGTGAAAACAGAGAAGACGCACAGTAAAGGCCTTCGTGTCTCCTGCTCAACCTCTGAGCTAAACCGACACCTAGAAATTCCTGACTTTTAATAAAATATCTATATAAATACACCCTTTGTTCCAAAGACACAATGTGTAAAATGCCATCTATCATGCTACAAGGTTATTGGATCATTAGAAAATAAAAAGAAGCAATTCAAATATAATTATGTTTTCACAACTAAAAGCTGTTCTATTGATTTAAAAAGTCAATAAACACATGGAGAATCAGGCTCAGTGACTCTGAAAATAAGGTAAACGTCTTCTGATATTCATCAGAGTTTTTCTAAGAATTGAGCCACCCATTCATGATCTTCTCCTTTGCTAAAGTCAGTCAGCAGGCTAGGCAGGATATTCTAGACATCCTTCTCCCCAGTTCCTCCTGCCAGATTACGAGGATTTCCCATGCCAGATGAGATATATAATCTCTCCAGCATGTTTTGGGTCTATCCCAGGGTCTTCTCCCAATGGGACCTGCCCAGAAAATCTCCAAGCACCTAGTAGGCATTGTAAGAAAATGCCTAAACCATCTCATCCGGGTCTTTTTAGCATGGGGTAGCAGTGCTTTCACTCCCAATTCCCACCAGCCATTACTCTCTGTTTGGACATTGTAGAGAACCTGAACAATTTATACACAGGTGTGCACTACTTTCTTCATACAACAGTGCAAAGTGGCTTTAACAGGAGTACAAAGGGGGGTGGAGTGCGCAACTAAGCAAGTAAACAAGAACATCACAGTTTCTGTTTCTAGAGTTAGGAAGCTCCCTAAATGATAACTGTAAGAGCCAGATGCTTTAGTTAGTAATACGTAGTGTTTTAATAAACCTTTAGCTTTTTGGCAATTTTCTTTAAAGAACGGCCTTCATTTCTTAAAACAAAAATACTCTGATGAGTTTTAAAAGAGAATGACTTAATCAAATCCATAAAGGTGAATGCTTCATATTTTCTAGCCATTTCTTGACTCTTCATCATGTGCGTTGGATTTTAAAGATTTTCATGAGGTTTAATGCTAATGTCAGCATGCTAACATAATCACACTGACAATACTAACATGCCAGTGTTCACCAGGTGTGATATTTACTTTGCTTGCCAGTGTGGGATAGTATGTTTGCATCCCTCCATAATTTATATGGAGGGATGGGCAGTTGTATTTTTGGGCATCTGGCAAATGTAGATCCAGCATCAGCTCGTTAGTTCTGTTATCAACTCTGAAGGCAATAAGTGCATAATGACTTTTGCTGTGGGTGTTCATTTTGGGGATGTGTTTTAAAGCTTGTAGGCTGAAAATGATTGCCTGCTGCATCCAAGAATGAACAAAGGGAACTGTTTGCGTTGAGGGCCTGACAGATAATTACTGAGGCGAAACATGCTATTAATCTCGTTAAGCCAAGGGGTTCTTCAGAGTCAGGTTATAATTTTCCGTCGGCTCCATGTTGCAGCGGCTCCTTTCACCGTGACACCTTTTTTTTCAGTTTTGTTTGTTGGTATGAAAAATTCTAGGTGTTCCTGTAACAGTAGTAATGTTATAATTACAAATTCATCAAACAAAGCAGTCCCTGTTATTTTATCTGCACCTTTTATTTACTGACCAATAAAATTGCTCTTCCAGTCTACTTGCTGCTGGGCTTGGTGTGTGTCCTGGTTGTGCTGGAGACATGTTGGGAGCTTCCCCAAATGAAACGCCTTAGACATCGATTTTATGAAGAAAACCTTCGGGAACTGGACTCAGAGACCACCAACATCATCGACCGTGATCAATTGAGCGACCAGCTGGCCGATACTGCAGATCATGTGATAGATCACCCAGCAACCATCTCTTCTGTGTCAGAACAGGCTGCATCCATACGACAGAATGGGAAGTCAGCGCCTTACACCCTGGCATCAGGAAGTGCTCTTAACGGAAAACCGAGATGACAGATTGTGTTGGCTTCCAGGGTATTTTAGTACAAACTGTTCTTAAGGGGCTGTGTAATATTCTCCATGCATGGCTGCACAGGACGTACCGGCTTTGACCTCTTTCTATGTCTAGAGTTTATAAGGAGTCTGAACAAATTTATATATATATCACCATCTAAGCAAAGTTATTTAAAAAAGCGATTGCTCTTTTCCATTGCCAAGAATGAAGTGTTTATCAGCATGGCATTGTTTCCACCCTTACTGTGCAATTCCCTGCCGATAGAGATCTTGGCACAGAGGAAGGGCTGGGCCCCCCAAACAGAGGGAAACCCCCACAAGTTTCCATTTCCTGCCAAGTTTTGATGTTGAAATTCCAAAGCAGCTAAGTCTGCTCCAGAGGATTTAACATCCACTCTTGGCACGTTTCATAATCTATGGTGGTATTTGCATAGGAAATTTGCCTTCTTGAAAACAGTAAAGCAGTACCAGAAGAATCAGGCGTGTCGTCAGTGAGCCCTGTGTAAATTATATACAGGAATTACAAGAAGATCAGGTGATAGCAAAGAATACAAATGTTTTTGTTCATGGTTCCTTACAAGTTATGATTAGCCTTCAGTTCTTGGTGGAATGTAGAAAATCAAGTGGTAAAAACCCTGCAATATGTCGCTTCTTGACACTAGAGGGCAGCACTTTCATATTACAGCTGGATTTACATGAAGCTTTTACTTGAAATTGCTATCTCATGCTGTTTAGGGATGTATTTCTTTAAAAGTGTAACCAAGGTGCAAAAATATGTCATTTTTAACACTGTGGGAGATGAAGGAATATGCCGAAAGACGTTTTAGTAGCAATAAAACAAATATACAATTAATGCTGGATGTTTTATGCCTGCAGTTATTTCTGTTTTTACTCACAAAGCAGCTTTAAAACAGACTCAAATCTTGACAATCAGAAATAATTGTTTTTTGGAGGGTTTTTGTTAAGGGATTCAATGAAAAGCATAACTTTGAAATTGTTGGTTTGTTGTTGTTTTTAATCAAAAATCATTTGTTTTTTGGGATAAAATGTAAATGCATGATGAAACATTAAAGAGAATGAGTGATTATGTTTTTAACAAGTGTAAAAGTGCCAATCAGATTTTTTTTTTATAAACTTTAGTTATTTTATTTATACAGTAGTATCTTCACATTCACATGTTCATTATTTAAGACACTTACATGCAGACTGACGTGGGTACAAGCACACTTTCAGGTGTCACACATTCAAACTCAGACATGCACACACACACACACACACACATACACTCTTATACAGGAAATGTCCTTCAAGCAGGGATGCACAACTTACTCCTTTGTGGGAGACACTGTTATCCTTCAATCCGTATGACCTTTAACCTCCCCACTACCTAGTAAAACAGTCAACACAAACACAAACATTTGCAAATGTCCTCTATCTCATTTGCCACTCACACATACTCACAGTGCAGTGCAAAAGTCTTAAGCCACCCTTCATGTCTTTATTTCTTGCTTGGAAAATGGGGGATGGGGTAGTGATTTAATGAAACATACAAATATACATGGAAACACAATAAAACACAAGCAAAAAAACGGTTTTTACAAATGCAACAAATCAGAAGGTTGAACTACTTTTATTCTTTAACACAGCCTTTTCTCTCTTGGGCAAAATTTCTTGTAATTTTTGAGTAGAAAGTAGTTGTCAAAACTTCTTGAAGGACATTCAAAGCTCTTCTTTAGATGTTGGCTGCCTTTTGTCCTGTTCTCTTACAAGATGATCTCACACTGCTGCAGTAATGTTGAAATCTGGGCTCTGGGGAGGGGAATCCATGACTGATAGTGTTCCATTGTGTATTTTTCCATCCAGGTATGCTTTTACTGTAAGCAGTATGTTTTGGATCATTATCACGCTAAAAGTTTGTTCCAGACGATGTTGCATGGTGGATAAAATTCTGACAGAATCAGAGCCAGATGCATTTCTCCAATTATCTGTCAAGTCTTTGCTGGATTCTTTCCTATTGCTTAATTAAGGAAATCACTTAAAGATACCTTTCATCTCCTGTAGATAGTTTTTCAGGCCTGCCAGTTCTTCCTTGTCCAGTTTCCTCAATTTATTTAAGGACACATTGCACATGATGCTGAGATATTAAGTTTTAAAAATAATAGCTCTTTGTTGGTGAAAAATACATCTTGTGTCTGTTAAACTGTGTTATCGTTGGCATTTTTCACGAATTTAATGAAAGAAATGTGAACACATGATACATTTTTGCAATAGTTGTTAATAACAGAGTGCTTAAAGATACTATTTAAAATGAGTTCATTGCTAAGTTGTCTGTTTTGTGCTGACAGAACACTAGTTCATCCCTTGAGCTAGGTGTTTTCTTTTATACTTGAATGACTCATAGGTCAGCGTTAAGTGGCTTAAGAAAAAAAAATCCTCTTAAATGGCGAGGTACAAAGACTGAACTGAAAATAAGTGAAAAAGCAGCCAATGTCTAAAGAAGAATTGTGAAAGACCTTCAGGAAGTCTAGAGAACTATTGCTCAAGAGAGGTTAAAAATAATAGTTTGTGTAGGTTCTCAGTCATCAAGGTTATGGTTGTCTATGGAACTTGGAAAGACAAGAGCCTGGACTCCTTTAAGTTTCTTGAAGACGGTTCACCTCTCGCTGCTTAGACTACAAGTACATGTGGCTCCTTGAAAGGAAAATATAAATAGATGAGGAGTGACTCGAGATTTTTGCACATAACTGTACATGCATACATACGCTTCAGAGTGTTTATACAATTTGTGTTTTCTTGGAGCAACGGGGCCAGAATATGCGGAGGGCGAGAAGTAAGAGGAGGCCAATGAGTAGTATTGTCATGACGGTTACTATGGAGACGTAGCCAGCGTGGGGGAGAGGGGGTGAGTCAGGAGCCTCAGCTGGGATCATGTTGGTGAGATTCAACATGTAACCCAGAGTCCAGCCTGCATCACTGCCTTTTATCTGGAAACAAAGAAGAAGGGAAGCGATCACCATAAACATAAACTGTTGACAAATTCAAATAAAAAGCGTTTAAATTCAGTTGTCTTAAAAAGCCTTGCTACTACTAGAAGATCTTCAGTATGCCAAAGCACTGATTAATGTGCCAGTCCAAACTCTCCTTTAAGTGTTCAACCCACACAAGTAGGGATCAAGAGTTCAGGTTTTTCCTTTAATTTGTCACCAGTCAGTATAGTGAGGTTAACCTGATGTAGCGGCTTATAGTGAAATGCCTTCCTTAGGGTATTATGGGTAATTTCACTCGCACAGCATATGCTTGCTAATTGTAAAAAAAGAAATTCAAAAAGTAAACATCGAAATTCTTACACGAGATGTTAATTAGAACTGTGACTGCACAGTCTGAAACAGCTGCTGGTCTATCCTTCGCTAACTGGGTCCCCCATCTAGCTACAGTATCATCCAGTACCTGTAATAGGCCCCACATTGAGGGGTTCAAAGAACACCAGCAGTTCCAATCAGCATTATTGTGAATCAACGTTTGATGTTAATCCTTTGTTTTTCAAGTACTCAGCCGTGTTATTTATTCATTTTTTAAATAAATGATTATGATATTTGATTACACAGAATCCAATTTGTGTGCATGTCTGTGTATAATTATAGCAGAGTAATAATTGTCAGAGTTTACAACAAGGAAGCAGACTGGCTGCTTTCTTGTTTTTTTGTTTTTTGCCACCTAGTCTTTCTGGAGTAATACGAAGTAACACCCAAACTAATCCTGTTGTATTGCATGTAGGTTGAACTGGTTTGAGTTTTTCTTGTTATGGTGTGATTTATGTCCCTTTTATCACTGCATTTTAAGTCACTAGAACAGAGCAATGAATTCCTTATCTGCTCACTGCTTTTTTCTAATCAAGGCTTCTTGGAAAGAGTTAAACATTCTTGTGTGTAATATAATTTAACTTTTAAAGGGGCGATTGTAGCTCAAGAGTTGGGAGTTAGTCTTGTAATCGGAAGGTTGCTGGTTCGAGACCTGGCTTGGACAGTCTCGGTCGTTGTGTCCTTGGGCAAGACATTTCACCCGTTGCCTACTGGTGGTGGTCAGAGGGCCCGGTGGCGCCAGTGTCTGGCAGCCTTGCCTCTGTCAGTGCGCCCCACCCATTCACATACACACTGGTGTGTGTGAATGGGTGGATGACTGAATGTGTAAAGCGCCTTAGGGACTAGTAAAGCACTATACAAATACAGGCCATTTACCATTTTACTCAGAGGATGTAACCACTGATAATGTTAGAATCTTGCCAACTTGGCTGTGAGAGAAGGAGGGTGAGTGGCTTACATCTAGATCTACACCCATTAGCAACATACCTGACTAAATACACGATGAGTTTTTAAATCATGATTTCATTTATTTACGGAAAAAAAGCCATCTAAACCTATCCTTGCAAACCCCCCAAAAAAGTAATTGCCCCTTAAACCTGCTGTAAGAACTGGTTTTGCTGCCCTTTGCAGCAAAAACTGTAATCAAGCATTTCCTAACTGTGACAAATATGCAAAAAAACAAAAACAAGAAGTTGTTGTTTACTGCCTGTAGTTTGTATGGCTTTCTTGATGACAGCATGTGTGTGTGTGTGCAGCTGGCTGAGGAGGTGGTTGGTGAATATTCCTCTGAAGTGTAAAATCTTTGCCGTGTTTCATATGAAAAAGGAATTGCAATCTATTTTCTGGCTGCTTGATTAGGTTACGTGCAATATTCTGCGTAGTCTATTTCCCTTGTGTGTTCTGTGAGGAGATAACCGAGAGTCTCGTTTTAATCTGAAACCTAAACTGAAGGCTGACTTTGCACTTTACCTCAGATGAGAAGAGCTTTGCTGCTGTATAATTCACGGGCTGTTGCTACCTACTTTTTGAATCACTTTTAAGGTGGTGGTAGAGAGTGGTTCTGTTGTTTTGAGGGGTTTTATGTCCTCTGTGCTTTGCTTTTTACTTTCTTGTTTGAACAGCAGAGCTTTTTGTTTCTGCAAACTGCAAGCATATTAGATGTAGCTGGAATAGTTTAGTGTTGTCTGATAAGGGTGCTATGAAATTCTTAAGTAACTCAGAGCTTAGTTAGCTCTTTGCATAAAACTTGTGCCCGGTATTTATACCAATGCTTGTTAAAGCTGGCCTCCCAAAGGACAGCTGAATGCCCAAACTGGCAGAGAGGATTACAGTTAGTCCAAGTTAAATGTAATCCTAAATTTTTAAACCACCTTTTACACAGTTGAGGTTTTTCCACACCTGTCACTTTCCAACAGAGACTTAAATGTGTCCAGAAAGATGGATGTTACAGTAGGTATTTGTTTATATATGCACTCACACACACAAGTACAAGGTCAGGTCAGTATGACCTATCAGGTGTGGATGTCTCTCTTTAAGAGACAGGAAAAAGCTGGACAGTGATCTACTGACCTTCTTGATGAATTTTATGTTTGAGTAAGTCACTGCAGTGAAATCATATCCTTCTGTCAACAGGGTGAGGATGTAGGTGCCCGAGAAGCAGTATTCAGCCAGATACTTTACGTTTACTGTAGGATGCTGAATCTTTATCTGTGCAGGAAGTTCAAACGTAAGGATGCAATCAGTGTACATTACAGGCAGGCTGAAGGACATAGATAAGACACAGAAGGGGGTGACTATGACAGAACATTTTTTATGTATATAACCAATGTATACGTTTTCTCTGACCTTATCCCAAGAGGTAGCACAGTACTGGCTTAGCTTTTCCTTCACAGTTTCAAGGGGCATGGATGTATCCGTCAAATTGAGGAAGTTCATCACAAAGTAGTAAGCAGAGAACGCCTAAAATGAAAGATGAAAAGAGAAAGCGATGAGACAGGAGGAAATCAGGATATCTCTAGAAAGTGAAGTAATCAATTTATAAATACTACGGAAATTTATCGGACATTTATTGAAATCATTATATCATAATCATAACAATTGCCACTTAAACCACTAAAACGTTTTCCCCCTAAATATTTTAGAATAAGGTATCGGCTAAGTACCCCCTTCATTACAACTGCAAGGGGATGATTTTTTTTTAACATAAATTAAAATTTTGTTGTTTTGATTGTTGGGGGTGTGGCTTATTACTGAGAGGTGGATCCTAACACCGGTGGCAGTAGCCAATAGCTGTGTGCCAGGTTTCAACATGGCAGGTTTACCACATGTACTGCACTGTCTGGGCATCTTAACCATGTTGCTGGGGTCTGTTGCAGTTATACTATAAGAAATATGGCTAGCTGTGTGATTAAGGTGGCAACAACCGTCAAATTAGTCTTTGCTAATTAAAAGAAATAGTCTGTGGTAGATACAATATTCAGTAGTATTGCAATGATTTAGTTTATTTTTTCGGGGGTTTTTTAGAAGGGAAACATAGACGTTTTCTATTCTATCACTACAACCTAAGTATACTGTCTCTTCAGACTGATTATTGTATCAGTTAATGTTACAAAGGTTTATTTTCTTATTCAGATCAGGAAGATGAGGAAACACAAGCGCTTTTTGCTGAGGCGTTCCACAATTAATGTCAGTCATGTTAAAAACAGAAGTAACTCAATAAACTGGTACTTCGAGGATTGCAGAATTGATTATACTGTATGTTCTGTAACCCCTGTGCACGCCCAAATGGCACGAGTGCTCTGTGCTTCCCACAGATAGATTGTGACTCAATAATTCCAGTTGATCCTCTACTTTGTGATACAGAGAGTTCACACTTCTCACAGAATCGGAATCAGATGGGGTTGCTCAAGGGGTGGGGTAGAAAACAGCATAAAGAGGGAACTTCGAATCAGCATCTGTTGGGTGTATTCAGGTCATAATTTTTCTGATTAATTTTCATTCAGGCTTTATAACATTACTGAAATATTTCCATTTGTTTTCTTACTGGTCTTCTGTTTTGTTTTCTATAAAATTTGCACACACAGTGAATAAAAGCAAATTAGGAAGCCATGTACAGTTATAGATAGTCCACATGATATAACTGCATTATTTTTGTATGAAATTTCTTCCATATTGGATGCAAAATGAGTGCCCAAAATGTGTGCACTTGTGTGCATACATGTGGCTGTTCACGAACAAGTCTCATGCTATGGATGAACTCCAACCCCATGATCATAGCCTGCATCTGCTGATAGTAGTCTGTTTTGTTGTGCAGCCTTGTAATCTGCGAGTTGTGGTAAGAGTGGTTAGAGCTCACAGGGGATCTTCAGAGCAGACATGAGCAGTATAAAAGATGGACATAACTTCTCGGACCGAAAAATTAAGCAAATGAAAAAGTGCCCTAAAGCTCTATTCTGTCTGAAGGCAATAGACTTTAGGCACCGTAGGATTCTTTCTGTCTTGACTTAAATAAATACTCTCTTGATGAGTTTATGTCCTCAGTCGCTCCTTTTGGGTCAATAAAAGTGAGGATAGTCGGGCAGTAAATTAAACTTGAATGGGGTCATTCTCACAGATGTGGCAAAAAATGAATGAATAAATGCATGAATGCTAAATGCTAAAATTAGTCACCAGATATACTTGGATGACTGTTTAGAAACCAGGTTAAATCTACACATGGAGAAACACTCACTTACCCCGAATGGCCCCTGCAAAAGAGGCTGGAAGACCCCATTGAAAGAGCATCGGCTGTATTTGCAGGAAGTAAAGTTAAATACACTTTTCACAACTTCTTGGCATTCTTGGAAGTTTCCTTTCCCAATGTGATCAAATTTTTCTGGAACTTCCTGAGGTTTCCTGCCTGACACACAGGGGCTGTCATAAAGGACGGAGTAGTTCTTTGTCTCATTGTAGCCTGAGTGGAAACAAGGATCCAATACTGTTGTTGCACCTGACTAGGAGAGAGAGTGAGATAGTGAGGTGCAACAGATGGAGAACAATGAAGCCTAAGTACTTTTGCACATTTAAGAACATTATGGCTCTCTAAGATAAGATCCCATATTTGATTAGTTTGAACAGTTCATTCACAAAACACAGGAACCAAGGTCAGAAGTTTACCTGAGTGTGATTTGCCACCACCATTTTTAACGCTTGGTCTTTTCCGTAGCACAGGAAGCTGTGAGTATACAGGTTATAATCATTTCCATAGAGTCGGAAGTTGACAGAGTTGATGGGTGACTCTGAGCCATCAAAATCATCGGATATAAAGCTAATTTGAGTAGACGCCCCGCCAAGGTCAAGAGCGCCTGTTGTTTTCAAGCCCTGCAGAAGAGGTAAAATAACACTCGGTCAGTGCAGAACCAGGAGTACTGGCACACACAAAGTACGTCTCAGTGTGGACAAATGTGCACGGACCTGTATGTTGATGTGCACAAACTGACCTGTTTGAGACGATCATCCAAGTAGTTGACTGTGACCCACCCGAAGGCACCCTCTTCCTGCCCACTGAGGATTCTTGCTCCCTGATAGGAGAAGGGGGAGTTCCGCAAGGCGTTCTCCACAGCCTGAAATACGTTCTTTGATGCTGAGCTATTCACAATACTGCAGGCACACATGGCACAAATGTATGTGTGAGTCACATCCACAAGTCAGATCAATACAGCAGCCCATAAATAATATATATATTGTATTGTGCATAATGGCTTTGACAGTAACCTATTCACTGTCCTGGCAGTTCTTGTGGAGATAAATGTGCAAATACGAACGGTTACAAAAAAATAGCAATATTTGCACTGCCAATGCAAACACAGTTTCAGCTTTTAGACAGGAGATAAGCTAAACAGTATCAGCATGAAAAGCTGTTCACTGTGGGTGTTTTTAAAAAACATTCTTTTCTAGGTTTTATCATGAAAATGTCTAAGCTTGTGCAACATACTCCAGCAGCCTCATTCCTGCTGTGGCTCCCAGATAGAGTGGGGTCTCGTGAGCTCTTTCTTTGGGGACAGTCTCCTCAGCCTCCCCCATGCACTCTTTCAGAGACTCTCCTGCTTTCCATGGTTCAGACGCATAGCTGGAAATACCTTTACCTGTTAAAACAAAAAGTCAGGAGGGTTACTGGGCAGAAATTTAGTAACAATAAAGCACAGTGACAGCCTTGTCTTTACAGCGACCCTTCTTAAAAATTCACTCATCTGTAAAATTTCAGGAACTGTTCTGTATTTCAGAAGGGGACGGGCCAGGTAAAGATGTTATTGAGGTTAAATGAACTTATAGAATAAATTGCCTAATACTAGGCAAAGATGCAGCCAGGAGTGCCTTACTAGTTTCAGTTCAAAATATAACACAGTTATGGGTATTTACATGTATATCATGTATGTAATTAATAGCGTTATTGGTAATAAATGACTTTTTTGTAAATGACAACAGTTTAATTAAATTATATATACCATGCTTAAATTTTTAATTATTCTGTGTTTATTTGGTACGATACAGTATCTATATTTGACTTAAAGTCGGGAAGCTGTAGGGAAACACCCAGTTTGGCTGTCTCTAAATGCACTTTTAAGGCTTACCAATAAACATACAATAGCTCCTTTGTTTAGTCCACATAAAAACAAAAGTGCCATTCTGCAGTTTTGCAGGTGCCAGACATGCCTTTTTTGCCTGTGCATTGAATTCCTACAGTCTTGTCATCACCATGAGATTGTGTTGTAATAAGCTATTGTTTTTCATTTGTCTGTCATTGCTTTTACAAAATAACCACGTCTAGATTCTCTGGAACCAAAACAAAAACACAGATAAAGATTTTTCAGAAAACAGAGAGTACAGTTACTAATCGGATGTGAAGGGATTTGGAATACATGTGTAATTGTTTTTATTCTGTTAAAATGATTAATTGGCTTACTGAATACATAGCTACCACAATATTATCAACATACAACAAAACATTAAGCCAAAAACACATCTAGCTCTGTGTATAGTAGTATATTCTTTTGCTCTAGCATAACTTGCTATTTTAAGCTTTCACAAAACAGGCATAGCATTAGTTCAGACAGGCACCAAAGTTAAGTTCAACTGATCTTCATGCCAACCCACTTCAACTAATACCCTCCTACACAGCTACAGTGGCTTGCAAAAGTATTCGGCCCCCTTGAACTTTCCCACATTTTGTCACATTACAGCAACAACCATGAATCAATTTTATTGGAATTCCACGTGAAAGACCAATACAACGTGGTGTAAACGTGAGAAGTGGAACAAAAATCATACATGATTCCAAACATTTTTTACAAATAAATAACTGCAAAGTGGGGTGTGCATAATTATTCAGCCCCCTTTGGTCTAAGTGCAGTCAGTTGCCCATAAACATTGCCTGATGAGCGCTAATGACTAAATAGAGTGCACCTGTGTGTAATCTAATGTCAGTACAAATACAGCTGCTCTGTGACGGCCTCAGAGGTTGTCTAAGAGAATATTGGGAGCAACAACACCATGAAGTCCAAAAGAACACACCAGACAGGTCAGGGATAAAGTTATTGAGAAATTTAAAGCAGCCTTAGGCTACAAAAAGATTTCCCAAGCCTTGAACATCCCACGGGGCACTGTTCAAGCAATCATTCAGAAATGGAAGGCGTATGGGATAACTGTAAACCTACCAAGACAAGGCCGTCCACCTAAAGGCTCAACATGGAGAGCGCTGATCGGAAATGCAGCCAAGAGGCCCATGGTGACTCTGGACGAGCTGCAGAGATCTACAGCTCAGGTGGGGGAATCTGTCCATAGGACAACTATTAGTCGTGCACTGCACAAAGTTGGCCTTTATGGAAGAGTGGCCAGAAGAAAGCCATTGTTAACAGGAAACCATAAGAAGTCCCGTTTGCAGTTTGCCACAAGCCATGTGGGGGACACAGCAAACATGTGGAAGAAGGTGCTCTGGTCAGATGAGACCAAAAGGAAACTTTTTGGCCAAAATGCAAAACGGTATGTGTGGCAGGAAACTAACACTGCATGTCACTCTGGACACACCATCCCCACTGTCAAATATGGTGGTGGCAGCATCATGCTCTGGGGGTGCTTCTCTTCAGCAGGGACAGGGAAGCTGGTCAGAGTTGATGGGAAGATGGATGGAGCCAAATACAGGGCAATCTTGGAAGAAAACCTCGTGGAGTCTGCAAAAGACTTGAGACTGGGGCGGAGGTTCACCTTCCAGCAGGACAATGACCCTGAACATAAAGCCAGGGCAACAATGAAATGGTTTAAAAAAAAACATATCCATGTGTTAGAGTGGCCCAGTCAAAGTCCTGATCTAAATCCAATCGAGAATCTGTGGCAAGATCTGAAAACTGCTGTTCACAAACACTGTCCATCTAATCTGACTGAGCTGGAGCTGTTTTGCAAAGAAGAATGGGCAAAGATTTCAGTCTCTAGATGTGCAAAGCTGGTAGAGACAGACCCTAAAAGACTGGCAGCTGTAATTGCAGCAAAAGGTGGTTCTACAAAGTTTTGACTCAGGGGGCTGAATAATTACGCACACCCCACTTTGCAGTTATTTATTTGTGACAAAATGTGGGACAGTTCAAGGGGGCCGAATACTTTGCAAGCCACTGTATGTGACAAATCATAAATCACAAACGGTGTGCCATTCAGGTTGCTTAATCTGCCTACAGTTGGTGTGTATCTCCAAGCCACTTTGCAACCCACCTACACTCCAGCTTCTCATTTTCAGGCAGTGTCTGAATTGATTAGTGCGTTATCTGTGGTCATTTTTTTTCTATAGTGGTCCTGGAGAGTTGAATAAAATCCATTTATAGACTTAACACAACATTTGAAACAATAGCTGACTCTGTAAGGTGTTGCCCAGTGCCATTTGTCATTTAATATGAAATTTAATGTGGAGGCTTTTTAACGAACCATCAGATGTGTACCCAATAATGCTAATGAATAATTAGTAAGTGGTTATGCTAATCCACCAAGTCTCTAGATGTAAATTTTGATCAGTCTTTGGCTTCAGATGCCCTGCAGTTCTCTTTAAAAGAGCATAAGATTTCAAACTGAATGAAGAGAAAATGAATCACCTTGGACTTAAGGAAAATAGTATAATACAATTATACTTAATTGCAGCTTTTTAGAAGGAATCATTGTTAAACAGGAATGTATCATTTATGACCAAATTTACACACGCACATACACAAACACTAATAGCTATATCAGTAAATATGCAGATTCATATGCAATTTCCATCATATTAATGCATATATGTAAGTTTGCACTGTCATATGAGAGTATTTGTGCAACATATACTGTACCTTTGACTTTGCAGGAGTGTGTCTGTTCAACTCTGCCAGTGTTGTTATCCTTCTCTGCTGGCCAGTGATAAATATAAAGAGCTGTGTGGGAAGATCCAGCGTCCAGCACAATCCCATACTGGAGGAGGAGCAGAAAAATAACAAATTCTAGTTAATTAGTTACATGCAAACATTTAACATCAGGGTAATGATTGTATAAACTACATGTTGCCAAAACTGTGGCACCAATCCATGTGAATTAGGAGTACAGTACTTTATAAAAACTAGATCATGCTTTCAGCTGTGAGACTCAAACCTGGATCTGCAACTGTAACTAAAGAGATGATTTAATGTTATTGTTGATATCCGCTGGCCATATTTGGTGGTGGATTTGTAAAGCCGGTTGTACAAGCTGAGGTCATATACTGACAAGATGCCTTATTTGGTTTGTGGACTTTGGCTTGAGATTCCTGTGTAACACATTTGACTCCCACACAGGGAACAGGTCACAACATTTGAGTACTTTACCTTGTACTTTTGGGGGACAGGTTTGTTCTGCAAAACCGCCACCGTCACCAGGGCAACAATCGCTATGACACCAATCACAATGATGATGATGGTCACAGGCGTAGGCCAGGGGTTCTTCTCTTTCATCTCTGAAAGCGTGGGTGGAGAGACAGACAGAGACAGGAAGGAGAGGAGAGGCGAGAGGGTAAAAAGGGGAAGATGGAGACACACTGTTAAATAGGTATGTGTTTAGCCACTCTTGGTTCCAGATGTGGCGTATGTCACAGAATGTGTGTGCTTGGATGTTGGAGAGAAACTGTGTTGGAAAGAGCGTTTAATTGTTTTGTTGTGTTTTGTAACCAAGGGCTTTCTGATTTGGGGTGTGTAAATTGTTGCCAGACTGTTCATTGATTTTAGGGGGAGTTGTTATTTCAGCCACAGCACATTAGAGAGGGTATCTCACTGGTGTATTTAACATGGGCTGAAAGATCAGATATCCACTATGAAAAGCACTTAAAGAGAACTATTATTGTGGAAATACTTGAACTGTTTATACAACACAGAAGGACAATTGGATATAATCAAAAAGACAACTCTACCAAAGAAAGGCTGACCTATTAATTCAATAGCTATAGAGTCCCACAAGAGTGTATGAAAACAGTGATTAAAGATTTCAACATGTGCTAGTTATTATTTTGATATCAAATATTACTTTTTGGGTTCTCATTCCTCTTGAAGTACTCTGAAGTATAGAGCTATCACAATTGCTCTAATGGGATAAAGTCAAGATGCTATAGCAGATAATATGCACTTTTAAGTGCACAGTTTCAAAAACAGACAAAAAAAAGGGTATAAAAAGGCTGTCTGTAGTCACAAAGCTACTGTGATGGAAAATCGATGAATAAGATACCAGTATGAAAGCAAGCCCACATATACAAGCACACGCATGGTTGTTTGATTATTGCCAGGGCAAACGAACTGACAGATACTGTCGAGGCGCGCACGACAGCTGGCAAAGCAGAAACTGACCTACCGGCAGAGTACAAGACAAAACAGTTTTTCTGCCTACTTCACTAACAGTACCTGCAGCACCGATAGTTAAGCTCACCTCAGTCTACTGTGAGAAAGCGCACTGAAAGTTAAAGCACATTAAACCCAGAGGCGCACAGCGAGCAAGAGCACTTACCTCTGTTATGTACTTCAGACGGGGAAGGGATAGAGACAGATAGTGAAAGGGAGAAAAAAGAGAGGGGGAGGGTATGTGAGAGAGGGAGAGAGGGTGGAAGTTGAAGAAAAAGAAAATATGGGCTGGACGGGGAGAGGAGAGAAGTGACAGAGGAAGGTAGCCGGGTGATAAGATGAGGAGAGGTTTTTCCGTCGTGGCCGGACACGGATTAGAACAGAGCTGTATGTGTGTGCGTGTGTGTGTGTTTGCGTTGTAGCAGCTTTAAAGCACTCAGTTTCCTCCCCAAGCTGGGACAGCAGAGCTGGTCGCTATGGAGATGCAACTAAAGCGTGTTTGTGCGTATGTCGGCGCGTTCCCGTGTGTGCATGTGAATCCCTTAAAAGGGACTCTCTCTCTGGGAGCTAATGAGAGTCACTCTGCCCAGCACTACTCTTTCTACCCTCTGTTCATTCTGTGGGATGTGTATGAGGGAGGAGGGAAGTGGGGACTCCCTTGTTTGACTGTTTCTTATTATTGGAGACTGTGATGTCATCTCAGTGACGGATCGGAATTCCCTTCTTTTCTGTAAGGCTGTGTGTGTGTGTGTGTGTGTGTGTGTGTGTGTGTGTGTGTG